AGGGATCTTTCTCAAATTTTAAATGTAGGTTCCCCTTGATCCCTCGTTGTGCATGTTATATTTTGAGACTGATCATAAAAACAAAATGGATTAAAAGAAGAACTAAACAGATCTTTCTCATATTGCAATGATCGATTCTATTTCTTTCACATTAAGTACTGTACTAGTAAATATGTGAAATGACAAACTCACTTTGAAGGTTGGCTTTCATACACATCAGTATTAACTTTAGATCAAAAGTTACCTCAAGGTGCATTTACTGTTACCATGACTCGATCAAACAGATTAGAGGAAAGAAGAGAAAAGATTGAACTGACAAAGCACTAATGAAGATGGTACAATGGTGGGCGCCAAGATCCTTCTGGGATCTTTTGTTTTCAGGTTCAATCGTTTTAATAACTACTGGTTGAACCGGATACGCGAAAGGGGGATTGGACTGGGTGAACCGGATACGCGAAAGGGGGTTTGGACTGGGTGAACCGGATACGTGAAAGGGGTCTTATGCTTATTATAATGTAACACTACAGTATCAATATGTCACGTTTCTGTTGGTTATTGTTAAATTAGTTTCGTTATAATTAACCTGACCTCTCTTTCTTCACAACCAAAATAATTCCATGTTAACCTGTCAATTATAAGTTTTTGCTTTTTAACTGTTTGGTTGTTTGATTTTTGTTGTTTTCGTTTGATAAAATTTTGTTTTGTTTTGTTTGTTTGTTTTTGTATTTTGCCGTTTATGCTAGTACTAATTAGTTCAGAGTTTGATTGAAGTTGCCAACAAAATTCAACAAAATATGCAACAGCCAATTTCACTATTTCTACAATAATGAAGATGAATATAACTTTCCATATCTTCCTGACAGTAAACTTCGTTAAACTTCTGAACCGACATGAACCTGTCGAAAACCTTAATAAACTTCATTGTTTGGTGATAAATCTGTAGATACCTGAAAACTCGCTGACCGATCGCATACAACCCTGAGCAATCCGAATACTTCAGTCTGATTGCACAAAACCATAAAAAACAGAACAGATTTAAAATTAATTATTTACCTAACTGAAGAAATATGTACCACAAACATGATACATGAAAACAACACTCTTAAGTGTATGATTGTCAACACCTTTCTACACGAGTTTGCTCCCTTCCACTTTAACGTGACACCAGGAGCAAAGCAAGCATCACATCAATAGGAAGACACTTTACCCGCTCCCTATTTTGTGGTTTGCAATCTTGTAACTTTTTTTATTTTGTTTACAAATATGATGTGCTACTTGTTTTTGTATTGTTTTCTTCTTTGTTTCCGCATGCCCCCATCCACCAGGAAAACAATCCAAACAGACACAAACAAACACAAACAAAAACAAGTGGGAACGTTTGATGTTTCCTGAAAATATCCTCTGTTAGATTGCTTTGCAGTCGGAGTAAATTAATGCAAATTTACCTCGTTCTGTATCTTCAGTGTTGTTCACGAGGAACACGTGACCGGCCTCTCGGTGTCATACCCCATTGGTTGTTTTCCTGTGGTACGGAGTGGTCACCCGATATGGTTCGGATGTCCTGTCCTTAGAACCTCATCCTCTGTAGTTGTCTGGGAAAGGTTAGATGCCCTCAGTATATGTTGGTCTGGTGGTCTGTTGTCTGTCCATACACGTAATGTTTGTGGTCAGTCTTTAATTCGTTGAGCTTGCGAGGAGATATTTGCTGCTAATTCTTATTTAATGCAATAATTTCGATGCGACGTTTTGACACCTATATATATCTTACTTACTTGTGTAAGACCTGCTTTCTTTTTTCGAAGTTCAATGTTAATCTATAGTTAGATGTTTGCACTTCAAACTTTGTAAAATATATGATTTTCATTACTTCACTTATTGATTATCATTTAATTGTTATATACGTTTTACAGATTTATTTCTATTATAACAATTATCTTTTTATTACAAAGCAGAAACGCAATTTCGTCGGATGTTTGTGCTCATTTTTATTTCTAATAAATGACTGGAATTCAAACCTATGCACTTAAGTAAAAAAGAAAAGAAAGTAATTATGGAAGACGTTTTTTACGACTGGTAATTTTGACTTGAGTGATTGACGAAATATTTGAACGCAATAATGGATAAATTGATAGCATTTATCTAATTATGAATCATAATATAGCGCCAATTTAGCAAGGCGGTTTGTTCTCCGTTTTAATGACTGTTTAAGAACAAACATAAATCATACACATGTCTATGATCACTTTTTTCATTCTTTAATTTTAATAACTTTTAAATACAGCAAACATCTTTAACTTTACTGGTTTTGTGATGCTAATAATTAAACATGCTTATATGTAGTTGGTTTGTTCTGAAATACAGCGACTTTTAACTTGTTCAACAAATCTGACATTTAACCTTCGGATATGTCCGTCTCTCTGTCGGCGGGTACCGATGATTTATATCGTGTTTGGGGACAGTACCAATTGACCGATACTTCATTTACTGTCATTATTATACTCCTGAATTGTTCTCGAGTACTCCATTTTCGATTTTATCTCATAATGTTTTCCTTTCTGTGTGAGTGTCAATCGATGGTCAATTGTAAGATAAGTTTGTTTCTGTAGGTACCTATCTCTGATGTCTCCAAGTTTAAACAAACATGCTCAATGTGTAGTACGTTACACTACCTCCTTCTGCGTGTGTTATTGCTGTAGAAGTCCTGTGTGTGAATCCTTACTTGTGTAGTACGATACACTACCTCCTTCAGCGTGTGTTATTGCTGTAGAAGTCCTGTGTGTGAATCCTTACTTGTGTAGTACGATACACTACCTCCTTCAGCGTGTGTTATTGCTGTAGAAGTCCTGTGTGTGAATCCTTACTTGTGTAGTACGATACACTACCTCCTTCAGCGTGTGTTATTGCTGTAGAAGTCCTGTGTGTGAATCCTTACTTGTGTAGTACGATACACTACCTCCTTCAGCGTGTGTTATTGCTGTAGAAGTCCCGTGTGTGAATCCTTACTTGCTAATCAAGTGAAATGAAACCACATCGAACACATTCACGCTCCAGAAACGATGATTCCACGTGATGAATGTTTAATATGCTAACATCTTATTTGTTAAGAACGGCAAATATGACAAAAAGAACTGCTTTCATTGTGATTATTTTATACAAAAAGATAATTTTAGAGACCATAATTTTCGTTCTAAGCATAACGCGCATATGTTATCAATGATGTTATCAAAAAAGTTTATAACAATATTGTTTTTCCTCATTTTATGTATTGTTCAACTGTCTGGAGCGAACCTAGCAGCAAATTGTATACGGATAAGATTTTTAAATTACAAAAGAGAGCAGCTAGGATCTTATTAAAAGTTAGTGACATTCTTACTGCATCCAGGTCTCTTTTTGAAAAATTGCGATGGATGCTAATAGCAGATTTTTATGTTTTTAGAAAAATGGTTCTTTCTTACAAAATTCTACACTGTGAATCCCCGGGGATGTTAGATAATATGTTTTCCTATGTTAGAAATGTTGTTGTAAGAACTACTAGAGCTTCTGTACCAAATAAACTGTATGTCCCAGCAGCCAGAACCACGTATTTTAAGAGATCATTTGCATATACATGTTCAGTGTTATGGAACGAAACAAGTGACACAGTTAGAGATTCATGTAGTGTTAGTGTTTTTAAAGGCAGATATCTGGATCATTACTTTACAAAACCCTGATTTGTCTGATCTATGATATTAAATATACTGTTCGTAATGTTGTAATTCTATTTTATGTAACATATCATTCTATTATTATGCTAAAATTGTTGTCATGCTTGTATATATGTATTAATGCAGGGCCATATTGTAAACTAGACATTGTCTAAATATGTAACCCTGGATAAATAAAAGATATTATTATTATTATTATTATTATTATTATGTTGTTTGTTTTTGTAAAACAAATTTGAATGTGTAGTCTTAAATACCCGAAGAAGGTAAAATCAAAACACTTCGCTTTTCAACTTAACTTTTTATATATCTGATATATCTGATAATATGACATTACAGTCGCACTAAGTGATTAAATACCATGCACCCGATGTGTGTAAATATTATGCGATACAGCTATTTATTTATTGTTTAGCATATTTTCTTAGCTATCATAAAATTGTTTAACTATACATAGTGAATTTTATCCATATCTGTTATAGAGATTGGACTCTATTCCGCGCATAAGAATACTTACGTACCAACATATTTATATTATTAGGCTTATGTATTAAATGTAACACATGCACCACAAGGTTGACCTGTTTCCATTGTAATCTAGCTATACATTAGTGTTATCTGTCCAGGTAGATACAACATTGTACAGCGGGAGATATCGTAGCCTGTACCAAGCCTCGCCGTATCTTTAAGTAACAGGATCGAATTTATACAGGTGTAGCGAGCGCTGGTACCATACCGCGCTTATACAAACCTCGATAACATTAATTAATATCAGTTCAGCCTTTGTATGAGTTATTACCGAACGATTTATTTTAAGGACTCCAGTTGTACTGTTTAAAAACCACGTGTTCAATTATTTATGATGATTACAGTACTAATCCAACCACATGCCAAATAGAGTTATATTTATTATAATTTTATAAATTATGTAAATATTTACAACAAAACCCTTGAAAAAGTACAAGGAATAAGACCAGGTGTTCCGAAAGGTTATGCGTCTTCTGCTTCATCTCCGAAACCCATGATGTGAATCAAGATGGGACCCTTTCGAATATATTATGTGTTTCGACAAATGATCACCATGGCTATCGGCAATATAATGTGTCACTGATGTTATTGATGAAATTACTTTCGTGTTTATGTGAGCAGTTGTATAACAAGATGAATTAAAAGAAATGGTTTCCGATTATTGTGGCAACTTTTTACAAACACGAAGTTATTGCTGTCTAGGGGTATACATAGTATAACAGCTTGAAAACTTGAGCCAGAACCTTAATGAACGGAATAATGTCACACATTCTTTAAGTGAAAACCCCCACAACTATTGCGAATACTGATTATGAACGATACGGCGATCTTATTTATGTACGCTCTTAAACCGTTCATTCCATATTCCATACATACATAGTACGATTAGTTTTGTACATTTATAAGTAAAACATACAATTCCAAGGAAACAAGAACACACAAACGTTTTGTATTTTCAAATAGTTTATTTAGTCCTTTCTACAATTGTATAGTAACGTAAACAAGCTTCAAAAAGTTGAGTACAGCTTGTTACAGTTGTGCAGCAGTATTCACAAGCTTCCTAAGTGTTTATCGTAACATCTATAGTTACACAGTAACATTGATAAGCCTAAGATGCACACAGTTGTGTACGTAAAAGCCTGTCAGTGAAGGGATTGTAACTGCATTACAAGATGGAATTGAAATTCCATTGCTTGTATCAGGAACACGCTCTCCAACATAACAGTCATCAAAATGTTCATAATGTACTTGCATATATCACAATGCTAAACGATAGTGTACTGAAAGTTGTCAAACAAGAATAATAGAATTTCTTTAATTCAAGTACATACACTAAATATTAGAAACCGCACTCATGTAAAAGTAGGAACAGTGAAATAATGCTATAATGCCAATTACCAGTCACTAATATTAATTGAAATGTAATCACCATGTTATTGTGTCCCATTGCCACGTGGTAATAAATAATTATTATTTAATTATCAGTAATATGGAAATGAGAAAATAACACCACTTCAGTACAGTGCCCCGGTCATAGATAGCTTCAGTGAATTTAATTATTCTACCATGCAGGCAATTTAACGACGTTTTTCATTGGTCAGCAAGAATTATTAATTTGACAGCATACCATGCACGCGCCACATTAATACAAGTAAAGCCGTTCCAAAATGTATCCTTCATATCTAAGTAACTATATGGTTGGTGAAAGAAGACCTATTTCGTTACATTTGTTATAGCATAATAGATATAATCAACACATGACGGTAAATTATTGTGTAATATATTACTCAAAAACTTTGGTACAGATTAATAACGAAGAACAGTTTTACACATTACATGATTACACACTCCCTTATGTTAAATATTAAGTAAAATAATAATTTATTTTACAGCACCACTTCTACATCTTATTTTCTTTTGAAGTTTTCGAAACATTTAAAACCACAATGATAGCATTGTCACCTTCAAAGTAAACATGAAACGTATGAAACTTATTTCATTGGAAAATGAGTCACTAAAGGTATGACGGATACCACTTATTAACTGTCGTCTTTCCGCAAGCTATGATAAATATTAATAAGGCATTATATATCAAATCACAGAAGCAGGAAGTCAAAGAAAATGATGTTTTAAGAAAGAATAAAATGAAAATGTAATATCACTCGTTGGAATTTAATATGAAAATCTTCACAACTAAATGTGTTGTGCTTAAAACTATGGAAGAAAATTTCAAATAATTGTTTGAACTTGGCTTATCAATGTTGCAATTGTAACACTGTTTTCATAGGAAAACTGTGGGGTAAAGAACCATTTTTATTATAATATGAAATAACAGTATTCAAACTTGTTTTCACAAATGAGAATGCTGTTTTTCAAGAACATAACACGTGTTTGTTATAACAAGAAACCACTTTCAAATAGATGAAAACTATCAAATATGACAAGTGAAAAAGCTGAACACTGTTTAGAATATAGATAAAAAAAACCCATTAAAATCATCGATTTTGCATTGTTGTATAAAACTCATTTAATTGAGTTACGGTTGTTATTGATTATGAAAACATTAAACTCTATGATACAATGATATGTGGTAGTGTACAATTTGGCACAGACAATTCTATAAAGATATATACATAGGTCTAAAGAACTATACGGTACCCATTAGGTACAAACAATTCCAGATATAATATTACCCTATATCCGAGAATGAAAATAAAAGTATAATTTACATGTACGTGTTACTAGTAGTCACATATTCTTTTAACAATGATATTACCAATTTTCGTGTTTCAAACATATACACAAGTATGGTTGTGGCAGTTTAAAATATTTGCAAAAAAACATATTTCTTTTAGCATTAAAAAAGTGGAATTATTAGCGAAAGTTATGGAATTTCTATCGAATATCGCCATGAATTCTCGTGCGTGTGAACATGCGGCGAGGTGTTCGTCCTACTCAAGCTGGACACACGCTCACTATTAACTAAAAATCAGCTTTTGCAAATATAACTCTTATATAGAATATTTAAACGTGCAATAAGAAATCTATAACTACATAAAACATAGGTATGTGCTATCTTACATCGCGTGGATAACTTGGAACACATGTAGAAATCTTTAACTTTTTACTTTAAAAAGTCAAATATTGGTCTTGCATATCGCTATTAATTGATTGCATCACTTATTTGTGGTTTAATGCGCTACAGTCCGTTATCGGCGCTCGGATTTTCCGCGCATAACTATCAATGGTAATACTTTTATTGCATTTGTTTGTACGTTGACATTCCAGAATTCGTAATTGGTCCAATTAGTTACGTAGATTCTCGAGCGTCATTACTTACCTACTGGCCTCGACATAATTATCTATCATTATGTAACATTGGCGCTCATAACATTGATTTTAAGAATCTTACCCTGCAATTCCGTCCTTTTAGTTAGTTGCAAAAGCGTCAGCAATGTAATGTTATTAACATGTGGGAAGATATCTTTAATAACATCTAACATTACGTAATTCCAGATAGAAATCTTTCAATTCAAATATGCCTGGTAATAATATATTTATCATGTATGATAGGAACTTATTTTAAATTTTAATCAAACTATTGTCTATAACCACCTTACATACTCAACAACTCTCTCCCTCACATTCAAACTTTTCCTACATGGATGTCGTTATTATCAAACATGATAATTCTTCTTAATTTGTTTGACACTGTGCGGCAATTTGTACAACTAGGATAATTGATCAGAAATGTTTTTTTTTACATCAATGCAATGATGTTTTGACCTTAGTTCACATCATGCAAAAACTAATATCTTTAAAATGATATATAGTGTAAAGTAATATATATATATTGATGTGGCTGTAAGATTGTAGGGAGTAGCATTCTTACTTATAAAATATATCGTTCAAGGAAACAAGAATATGCAATTTAAAAAAACTGAACTAATCCTGACAAATAATAGTTACTTTACTAAGTTTAACAAGAAATATAGTTTGTACATAAGAAGAAGCACAATCGTAGCTCAATCTCACCTATAGCACCAGTTTAAGGAATAATAATATGTAAGAATAATAATTACTATGAACTATTAAAAAAAAATCTTCTTTATCATTCATGATAAAAGTTTGTACCAAAATGGATAATCGATTCGATTTTGCTAGATTATTACCATATAATTTATATTGTTGTAAAATCATAGAACAACCGTCATCACAACAGCGATAATTTCACTTCATTAGAACATTCTTCCTTTTTTACAACTCAGTACAAACTAATGTCAATATTGCGGATGGCAATCGTTATATAAAATGCAACATATTGGTGTATTCAGATTTATCTCTTTAACTTGCTAAATCCTCCACCTGAAATATGATAACAATATCAATATACTTATGTTCACTTTAATTCCAATGAATGACAACCAAATCGTCATTAAATCGAGACATGAACTTGCGATGTGTTACTTCCTGCATGCGTTCTCACAGTCCTCCATCGTCATGAAGTTGTTACCGTTTCCACGGCAGCCACCATATATGAATTGCTCGCACTGTTCTGTGGAGGTGTTGTAAAAGTATCTGATCTTTCTGGATCGGCATGGTCCGGTGAGTTTTTCCAATGAGCACGCCGCTTGGCCATTCTTGTCGTGGAATTTGTGTGACTTATACTTGAGTGGTGTAATGACAAAGTCTCCCTTTTTGTTATTCTTCCGATCCTTCAGTTCGTTAGCATACATCACTTTGGTATTAATAGTTAGCACAGTCTCCTGTTGGGGTTCCTCCTCAAAGAGGTCAACGAAGTCGTCTAGATTGTAAAAACGTAAACATGTATAACTTTGAGATTCAGATGTTAACCATTGATACGAAAATCATGTGATTCCAAATGAATTCGAAATTCTTTATTTCAAAATCGAGAATACTACAAGCATACTCTTGTTAAACGAACGCGGAATTTCTACAAAAAGGGTACATGCTGCCAATAGTATAATTGAATTGTTGTACACGCAGATCGTGATAAAAGGTATTCCACCTACTGTTCATTACTATGTGTATTATGATGTTTACTGATATTCGTTGTAATGGTGAATTTGTCCATGTTATGGAGGGCGAAGAAAAGCGAATTTTAAACTATAGCGAAAATATGCATTACTCCTTTTTATGAATTAAAAACCAGCATACATAAAACAATATACAGGGAATACAATGAGCAGTTTTAATGAAAATAAGATATAGTATAAGAACGCTTTTTATTTCTATGAAAAAAAAATACATTTTTAAAATACGAGTTTGAAAGCAATTAGTCACACAATAGAAGTAGATTGTTCTAAATGTAATATTCTTCATATTTTTTTAAGACATATGAAATATGACATGTGTGACCTGATAATGACCTTTGACTGTCTTGGGTTCGCCCATGTCTACTAGAAATTCTGGTGAACGGCTCTTCCGGGTAAGGATCTTTTTGGTACTATCGTTAGAAGTATCATCACGCTCTTGCTGTTTATCTGTCATTGCTGGAATGTAAAAATAACTACCCATTGCAAATGATCTATATAATTTAAATATAACACATGAAAAGAATACGTTTTCTGATACCGACTTTTGAAAGGGTTTCCTGCTTTGCAATCATGATATTTTTCTATCAAATTCGAATATTGAGTATTAACCCATACTTAAAATATTTGTTTAAATATCTTGCAATCAATTTGTTCTAACAGTTTATAAAAAAGAAAACAAATATCTGTTTTAGTCTGAGGGTAATCTTTGTGGGCAATTTCCATTTTTAAATCGTACGAACATGTCACCACAACCACGAAAAATATCAGCTAAATACATACGATGGCATGCCGGATTTTGCCCAACGACATTATCCCACCCAGCCATTTTTTTCCATGGGTTTGGTAACGCCATACAGTAAATCTTCATCATTCCTGTGAGGTAATAGCCAGGGTCGCATTTTACTATTATATATGAGCCCATCTCGTAATCCGTGCCTATATAAGTGGCGTGTGCGGGTGCAACAGGTGTGGGGCAATAGTAGCGCTCTTCCTCTGTTGAATAATGATGGCTCATAAAAACGTTTGTACAAGACGTTAAAGCTAACTAGATGACACTTGCAAGTAGAGATGACAACAACAACAGAGACGAAATAACACAAATCACACACATTATCATGAACACATACGTTGGCCATAATTTTGTCATATTACATAATAGACACCGTTGTTTTAAATAGACCAAAAACGCAACAAGAATACCATTAATATGACACCACTTTACTGAATCAGTAATATAAATTGAACACTGCCACAGCAATACTTAAAATATGACACCACTTCAGCAACAGTATAAAAAAACATCCAATAGCATCCATGCTATCAAGTATACAACACTGCATCAATAACACGGACTGACTACAACTATATTAATAATAGAGGTAAGACACCACTTCATCAATTCTATAGGCCAAAAAGTAGTTGTTTATGTTATCATGTAAACTATAGATACAAAAGTATAATACGGTAGGGCATATAACACAATTATAGGTCAACATATTTATACTAAGTGGTCTATAGAAGTTCATATGATGCTATGGCAATTTTATAAATGTTTTCTGTGTACATGTTCACAAAATAACACATAACCAATAACATGCTGATAACGAAATCTTACATTGGCGGTACATCAAGGGGGAGATAATGTACGTTTGCCACATTATTGAAAATATTGTCATAAACAAACGCCTAATGTACCAATTAAGGATTGAATCTTGCTTCGGTCAAAGCAAGATTCAAACCTTATATTTCAATCAACGTGTGATTCTTCAATAATTGGAACGTGTTAAGTCCAATCTAATTCTGATTTGTCCCAGGTTCTGGAGCTTGTGCAAGTCTACGTATTGACGTTATGTAAAAAATGTGGTCCGTCATTGAAAGACCATCATAAAACATGATGGGGTACGTTGATAGTTCATTACAGCCAAATTACGTAGATACAAAACACAAAACCATATTCTAGATGTCATTTAATGTTCGTTGATGAATTCATAAGATTAAATTTTCTGACGCGTCACCGCGGAAAAATAATATTTAGACGCGGTGCGCAGGCTCAGCTTCGAGTCTGCGGGAGCCATCTTTTTCCTAGCTCGAAGTGGAGAGCCGCTAAATTTCAAGGTTCTTTATCTTCTGGAATATGAAGCTGCAGTGACTGAATGTCAAATTAGACTGGAAACCAAACGTGGCTTGAAAAGACGAAAAAATTTGATATGGCTGTTGGCTGTTAGACTGTATTTCATATAAGACGGGACCACATGGATCTAATTTGTTTTCGATTTGTACCAGGGTTGATACTGACACGAGATGCAGAATGGGTAGCTGGTGGGATTTTTTTTAGGGCAGAACATGACTTGTCACTACCGCTAGCAACCGTGATTTGATAATGTTTTGCTGGTTGAACCTTTTTTTGGTTGTTTGAACAATTTCTTGTATTGCTTCAATAAAAATGTAAAAACTCATCAAGTGGTATTTTCTTGGTTTAAACATGTCAATAGTTATCTCCCTTCGCAAAATCATACGCACAGGCAATGCTAATCTGGTCAAACTCATCGGCAAATGAAACGGGATACATTTGGTAGTTGCATTGAGTCCAACTTGAGTAGGAATTGAAATATTCGGATATAAATATAGATATCTTCTTTAACTCCTTTGCTAATAAAAACAGTACCCGTAGTGTAGGTATGCAAGATATTTGAAGGAAATGCATTTTGTGGCTTTAGTGAACAATTTAAACGACATAAAACTGAGTATGTTATCTGGCTGTCGTAAATCTTTATCGGTCCAGCGGGAAACTATATCAGAAATATTCATACAGATTATAAAACATCATAGACCGTCAATTATCACCTATACAATTATTATGTTCAATGGTTAAAGTGTGCTTTTGTCAAATCGCAATTCCATGCCAGGTTTACCGACAGGTGTGTAAAACCCTTTGTGGTGTAGTTGTTAATGAGTGATAATGAAACTCTGGGTGTGACAGTGGTACCAGGCCCAGACCTGTCGCGGACGGACGGACAGGAAGATGGCTGACACTTTAACGACTCCACTGACAAAATTGTGCGACTTTCGTCTGACCTGGATCAGTAGCGTTCTTCATATACTACCCATGTGATTCACATAGCGCTGACAGGTTCAGATGGATAAAGCGACATTTTTGATTTAAAGCTTCTAACATTAATGACATGGCTCCTTTTGTACATAACATGTCTTTTGTCTCATTTAACTTCTCTGATGTTTATGTCTACACGGGGTGGTTCGACTTGGGTATATCAAATGTGGACCTAGGGAAGACAATGGCGAGGGGTCATTCACAAATTGTAAGATAACATGTTATATCTTGATTACAACACTGAACATCAGTTATCTGGACAAGACGCGGAATTCGATAGTCTAAGGGGTAGTATATCTGTAAAATTGTTAAACTCATTAGCAGGCATTTTAAAGTTTTCCAATCTTAATGTGATAATGATGGAGAGAAGAGTCATATGTCACGTATCATTTGATACACTTTGTTCACTGAATTAAAAATAATATTCTGTATATTTGAATTCAAACAAGTGATCCCAATTGTGCGGCAGTGCTGGGTACTACTCCGTACTGCACTTACATACCCGGTTCATCGTAACAAAATTTGTATGGAACAAAGAAAAGCATTTAATTTAATTTTCTTATGAATATTTCAATATCTGTATTATATTATTCATTTTTCATAACATGTCATATGATTCTAACTTCTTTATACATTATGGCATCTACGAGATGCGCTTCAAATTCTATGAGATCGTGAACTAATGACAAAATGATGTGAGTCAATCCTGACAATGATGGTCCATATAAATGATTCCATCGCAAATGTATTAACGATTTCTGCACAATCCCTTTTACACCCGGTATTATGTAACAAGACTAACGTTTAAATTATGTTACGCGTTCGGTAAATAGCTGTCAATTTCGCACAAATGAAAGTCGCATTTATATAAGGTCCTCGAACCCCACACTGTCAAAAATACAAATGACATATTAAATACACTGAATTCCATATTCATAACCCTACGTGCAAACCACTCATTCATAAAGAGCATACCACAATAGACAATCTATAACGTGGACAATTTGCAAGTTGAGAAGAATGTTGATAAAAAAACAAATTGGCAGGAGATGCATGGGTGGCCCATATGAATAAAATAGCTAGTGTTTATATGCACTTATTATATCATTAGAATTATCGACTTTTTATTATATTAAAGAGTCCCTGACGGACTTTTAGATATTGTGCTTGGGTTTCCTATAATGTTCAACACTATAGCCTGGGTCATGCACTAGGCGACCTGTCCGCGCCTGAATAGGCTATACACTAATGAGTGACACTTTAAGGTATTATATGTTTGCTTTCTCGAATATCTTACTGTATTCGAAAATGAAATGGGCGTTTATATTTATTTTTGACAAAACATTACAGGTACTTTAATCAATTGATTTTTCTATAGTCTGTCATGTTAGCAAGTGAAGAGTAAGCCTACATTATGCTGAGGACTGTTAAAGCCACTTCAGCTGAGCCACAATAAGTAGGTTTCCTACAATGGATAATATAGAACTTACTAGCAAAAATTGCTCCGGCCGAAGAACAATTTCACATAGAGTGCTCAATACGAAGCATTTAATGAATGCTGTACAATATCATAATTAGTGTTCAATATATATATTATTCACTGTTATTCGCTATTTTATCAAATACTATTATGTTTCGTTAAATACTGAACTGTTCATCAAACACTGTACTATTATAAAGAAAACATGTGCTTTTCCTCATTAGTTTATTTCGCGATTCCATTTACAGCACTCTTCACATTGTGGATTTACCGAGATAAACACATTTTGGGCGATCAATTTTTGCATTTGTATAGAAATAAAAGAAATAGTAAACATTATGTTGGATATTTGCGACCATTTCCTCCACGCATATAGATGTGCGTTTACTGATACATCTTTTTTATAAAAGTAAATCTGAAATCATGATCACAGTGTGACATGTGAAGTGTTCGCAAAATGTCCTTCATATTTTCACTATATTTGCCTAAAAACAGTTAGTGAGCTTTGCATGATTATAACCTGTTATTCATGTTTACATTTAATCAAATACAAATGAAATATTAATTTCCGATGTTATCTGTTGCCAGGACGAGCTAAACTTAATATATATTTATACTTCTATTAATTTATACTTATATTTTTGTTATCCAGAACAACATTTCACAAAGATTGGAGTCTTGTGCGCCTTTCCCAAGGCACGGCGATTAATTGATTGTTTAAGCCAAGCATATTAACAGACCCGTGATGTTTGTGAGAGATTAATCGGGGAGTTATTGGCCATAGAAGCACGGAGAGAGAACAGGCATAATTAAAGTATTCTGGATTTCAAAGTTCAAGGCACCACAACAGTAATTATAATTTCTGTTTTCTCCGCCACCGGCTTGGACAGACATCACGATCAGGCACTGGGAATTCGAATTTCATGAATGATAAACTTTTCGTGTGTTGCAGTTCAATTGCGCTAAGTGTAACGTGATAACAATTCAGGTCTTTGAAGATAATTTAATCTATAATTTTCACCGATTCAGTACCTACACCGGCAAACAGTGTATCTTGAGCGACAAGGCACCATTAGCCGTAGACACAACAAAACCCTCCCAAATTGAAATCGGATCACATAGATCGAGGCCCTGACTCGTAGATACGGCCAGTGCCTGTCACAGACGAACCATCATACGTCCCCTAGACCCTCCTGACCATAAAAATTAATCACATTCTTAACAGTATTCTACTGTGGCATTTGAGCATTAAGTCCTCAGCAGGAAGTGTTGTTCGTTCATTTACGATACGTGTTAAGTCAATACCATTTAGTACAAGATAGGGGTAGACACCACCTGTGGGTATGGGGCTCTTACCCGACCTCAAACATAACCCGAGTTTATTTCCGTAAAATAATGCGATTT